GCGCACTGAGTTTGAGGTCCTTGAGCAGCCAGTGGTCCTTGGGGGCAAAGTGCTGATGACAGTCCCACTCGTAAAGCACCATCAGTCTGCCATGGACAAACTGAAACTGCATGTGAAAGTTGGACAATGAATAAGGAAAACCATAGAAGAATTGGTGCACTTGAGTTGTGGTGTTGGAGAAGATGGACTGCCAGAAGAACAACCAGGTGTGTGCTGGAAGAAGTACAGTCAAAGAGCTCCTTAGAATCCAGACTTCATCTCTCATACTTCAGACATGTTATCAATCCCTGGAAAAGGACTTGGTAGAGTGGAGGGTCAACATCAAAGAGGAAGGCCCCCAATGAGATAGATTGGTACAATGGCAATAGAAGTGGGCTCAAGCATAACAACAATTGTGAGGATGGCACAGGATAGGGCAGTGTTTTGTTTTGTTGTGCATAGACAGGGTCGCTATGGGTTAGAAGCAACTCAACAGCATCTAAAATCAACAATAAGAACAACAGAATCGAATATTTTTCTGTCTGTTTGGTCAGCTTCGGGTTAGTTCAGCCCTAGAAATCCTAGGTGGGTCAAATGGGTGCCTACTGAAAACCTGGGGGTCCACACACACCTGCCTGCTGGTCTCTTCGTTCACTTAGTCCTAGCCTCCATGGGCTATGTGAGTTGGACTCAGGAGTCCACACAACTCCTTAAAATTCAGACCAACCAACTGTTCCTCTTCTCTCTTCACCAGTCTCATCATTGCTGCATTCTCCCCTACTGCCAATTTAACTTTCAGTCCTAGAATGCGGTTTCCTCTCATGGACACACACTTTCCCTTTCTCAATACATCCAATGGCAAACTACTTGAAATTTAAAAAAACCAAACAAACAATTAGTCATCTTTTTTTCCCCTCTGCAGGTCTTTCCTTCACAGGTAAATCTCTTGTTCTCTAAGCAGTTCTGGGTGAGACTCAGATTTCATCGAAAGTCCATATACTCTACAAAGACTCAAAAAAAATATATAACTTTTTTCTCCCAGGCAATTTCTAACTCTACTTTTAGCATATCCAATAAAGTATAGGAGTCCTGGTGTGGTGCCATGGATTAATGTGCTGGATTGCAAAGTTAGTTTGAACAGCAAGGTTGGCAGTTTAAGCTCACCAGCTGCTCCTTGGAAACCCTATAGAGGGTCACTACGGGTCGGAACTGACTCAAACAACAACAATAAAGTATAAGCTTAAAGCGGACTTATAAGCTCTCTGTAATCAGGATATTCAATAACCATTTCCACCACACATGTGCATGCCATCTTGGGCCTCTGGCTGGCAAGGGTGGCTTAAGTAGACCCTGGCCCCTATTAGTCATCTTGTTTAACCAGCCAAGCTTTTACCCCACATAACTCCAGTTGTTGTTGTTGTTGTTAGGTGCCAACGAGTCGGTACTGACTCATAGTGACCTTATGCACAGCAGAACAAAACACTGACTGATCCTGGGCCAACCTCACAACTGTCGCCATGCTTGAGGCCATCGATACTGCCACTTGGCCAATCCATCTAATTGGGGGTCTTCCTCTTACCAAACATGATACCCTTCTCCAGTGACTGCTCCCTCCTGACAATATGTCCGACGTATGAGAGACGAAGTTTGGCCATCCTGGCCTCCAAGGAGCACTCTGGCTGCACTTCTTCCAACAGAGATCTGTTAGCTCTTTTGGCAGCTCATGGCATT